TCACAATAGATAGTATTATTGAATTGAATAGTACTATTGAAATATCAAGTTCAGCAAGTTTATCATCCCTGCTGTGCTAATTTTAGACTTTGCAACTGTTTGTGAATCTCCTTTTCTTCATGTCATGTCCCTGCCCATGGCAGAGWGGTTGGAAATAYCTGATMTTTCATGTTCCTTCCAACCCACACYATTCTSTGAGTCCATGATTCCATGAGTCTWTGATTCTGTGTWAGATCAGRYTCCCAGCTTTTCTAAASAGGATTAATAASAGTGCTTRTTTTAAAACAGTCTCTGGTTAGTACAGGATGGCAGCATTTGTTCCCATTTACATCCTGATGAYTGCTCTGCCATATAGATTTCCATGTCTAAAATGGATCAGCACTGAGTCTCCCAGAAAGGCAAAAGCAGGGCTAAGCACAGGACTTGCAAGAGTAGGAAAAGGGTTCTTCCCACTTTAGAGAAGACTCTGCCATAGCAATTTCCCCACTGAGTCCYTAAAAATGGCTGATAACAGCTGCTACAAGAGACACTTGWAATTCTTTGTTACATTCTAAAGCTCTGATCCAACCAGGCACCCTGTATTCTTTCTGAATTTGATGTGAAGTGGTGGTTGCGTAACCAGTGTGTTGATGTACTGAACATATGATAATATGGTTTGCAAATTATTACTCTCAATAATGTTTAAATTGGTGTTCTGATTTAAACTGCCAGGCCAAGGCTTTGCTCCACTCAGTCTGCACGAGAACATGAGGACTATGATGGGGCATAAAAAAATCTGCAAATGATACTGTAAAAGCAATGCTGTGTGGTATCTTCTGTGTGGTGTATGTACAATTAGACTTTCTAGCAATGATCTGACTCTTAGTTTCTGCAGAACAAGAAAAAAATAGTGCATGGGCATATATTGGCTAAAGTATTTAGAAAAGAATTGCCYCTCAGCCATGCTGCTGCAAGTTCTGTTTTTCCAGAGTATTTAGCCATAAATTTACYCATTTTGAGAAATCCAATTTTTTTTTTGATGGAACACTTCCAGAGCAGTGCAACTCCACTGGAGCTAACGGTAACATTCTCAGTGAATTCATTATTTAAGTGCAAGCTGCATCCTACAGCTCCCATTTGCTACYCTGAAACTGCAGTTCAACATCTGAAAACAATGCTACCTGGAGAACCCTTGCTAAGGCTCTGAAAAGGTGATGTCTGTAGGGAGTGAAAATAACWGCTTACAAGGTCTTTAACTCGGGCATCTGTTTACACCCAGCAGTCCTTTTTTGGTGTAGTCAAGAATTATGGTATGCACACGTTTATAGTGTTTAGCATCTTTAATTGRCATTTCTAAAAATAGTTTTATTTGCAGACTTTTTTCAAAATTATTTCCTAAAAAWATTTTATTCTAACTACACAGTTGTAATGCGATCTTCATTTCTGTGTTTGCTCTTGTCACTGATGATATTCAGTAGTAGCATTTGGAGATTTGGTGGCAAGTCTGTAAATTCTACTGTTCTTCAGTTCTGTATCAGCAGTAGGCTCACTGTACCTTCTTAAAGACCTGCTTACACGTGACTCCACACACTCTTATTTCCTACAAAGAGAAAATAATWAAAAAATACAACTTTTACTTAGAACAAAACCATTATAGATTCATGTCTATGTCCAGCTTAATTTGAATCCACCATTTTCTATGAAATTAGATTGGGAGGCTTGTACATATTTTAGCTTATTTTTCATCCTAAAAGAAACCATCTGGTTTGGGTTTGTTTTCTGCTAAAAGGTGGAGTAAGGGGATTTTGGGATCTCAGATCTTARAGGCCCAAATATATTCCTAGTGCATTATTCTCTATTTGCAGTGTATATRTACAACAACTTAGGTCTTTGAAATGGGCATTCTCTATTCTGGACATGTAAAAAGGTGGGGATGGAATTCTGAATCTGTGTGTTAATGACTGGAAGACCAAGCCTAGAGAATCAGCAATCAGGGTCYGCTTTAGCAACATGGAGACCATGGCTACGAAAGGACAGGTGACTGTGCAGAAGATTTGATCCAGAGCTATCACACAGCACAGCACAGCACAGCAGTGAGCTCTGTCTGAGCCTGGCCACACTGGATGCCTGATGCTGTTCCTTTGTGTTCCGTAAGAGCTTTTCAAAACTCACCTTGCTAATTACTGGATCACTGTGAGCTGGGCATAAGCAGAGGCAATGATTACATCTTGGGCTCCRATTTGTGAGGCTGCTGCTGCGTGACGTTTACCCATCTCCACTACTGAAACTCCTTAAGTCTGACCTGACAAAGGCACACAGATGTGTGCATATGGGATGTGTGCATGTGGCAACTGGTTTAGGTGTGAGATAAAATACTGTGGAAGCTCTAAAGGGATTAAAGACAAAGGTTATGCATGACCTAGCAAAAGGGATGCACTTTCCAGTTCAAGATGAGATTTTAACCAAGCTACCAGAATAGTTTAAGGAAGTTATTAACATTTCTTATGGGKGACTTTGATAAAATGACTTAAAAAAACCTTACACTAGGTCAATAATCTTATTGACATRTGTTGCTAGACCCCAATATTACAAAGTGCTTCATGCTGAATTGGTGGAACAAGCAGATTAATCCAGTGACTTTAGTTAGGACCTGTTTTGTTCACTACTGCAGAGGTAACCTGGAAGAAGGAGTGTGCAATAAGGGCTGAGAGATCTGCTGACAGTGACAAAAACTATGGAGCAGAAGCAATCAATACAATAGAARAGGGCAATAAAACTCAAAAGGAAGTGGGGAATGGCCAAATAAGTCACTCACATAAAATAAAATCTAAAAAGAACTACAAAGTACAGACCATAGAATGAAATGAAGAAAATAGGAAGCGATAAACTACTAAAGGATGTGGTCCTGCTCTCTGCAGAACTGTGAAAAGAATAAATTAACATTTGGCTCATTGTGTAAAGTTCAATAGGATCATAAAGCTATTGAAGTATCAGTTTTTTAGAGGTAACTGTTCATTGTATCAAAGCACTCTCAAAAGTACAGGGCCTAGTAATCTTAGCTGATCAAAATAAGATACTAAATGGGACTCTTTACTGCATTTTTAATAGAGACAGTTGCATTAACAAGGATCAGACAAATAAAGGGGACATCTTTTGCAGTTCATGAAATACAAGAAATGAGGAAATTGAAATACTGAGGWGTGGACTCTAAAATACCTGGTTACTTCCTTTGCGTGAATTAATTTTGTACTGACTTGTGTGTACATGGGAGACAGATTGTGATAAATTGTCCAAGGACCAATGAGTGAATGCATGAGTTAGAAGGTATGATTACAAATTCTTCCCAGCCTTCTGAAAAGTAGCATCAGAGCAGCCAGATTACCCTGGGCTACCTAAACTGTCACTAGACACATGTATTTGAGCAATTGAATCTGAATTTCTGATTTCTAAAATCAATCTCCTGACACAGACAAGTATAGATAGTAGTCTGGGCAAGAGGTCCGTGGCCAGGTTGTGTGGCTCTGTGAACAGAAATCAGAGTAAAGATAGCAGGAATTTGGACAAAATGAATTGGTGTTGGGGACAGAAGATGGGAAGAGATAAAGCCTGGGAGCTGGSAAAGGACAGAAATCAGTGCCAATCCAGAGGAATCCAAGGGCAACTGGTGCTATTGTTTACATGTGCAGATGAGTGCATGGATGTGTATGACTGAGCAGCACTTCTAGAGCAGGCACTGTAATGGGTGACTGAGACCTGTCTGCCAGAGAATCTGGAAGGGCAGATGCTTGGTGTCATGGCACTGCCTGCCATGCAGCTGGGAGGCAGTGTGGAAATATGAAATGTGCTTCATGGAGGGAGTGTGTATGCACAGGAAATTCTGGCATCTCCTTTTTATTGCTTCCTCCCCTACTTTAGGTGAACCCATGGCCTCAGCTATAAAGKCATCCCTTACACAGCGACTTTCTCCCTACCTGTGCTGTACAAGTCCAGGTGGTAAGATCTGTCACATTCCCATCCTAAACTGCATTCTGGGATTTCCAGTATTTCCTGCAAATTATGTTCTGTAATAAGGGGTTTGGGGTACTTCTGCAAAGATTTCATAACTCTGCTRCTGATTTGAACATTTAGAGGATATCCACTTAGAGTGCTAATAGCACTGCACAGTGAATAGAATTGGAGGTTGGAGTTTATTATCTCAGCAGGAAGACTGCCTTTTACCCACACTGATGAGAGAGTGAGGATGCTATGAAGAGTTATAGGACAAAAGAATAGGCATCTTCTTTCAGGTCCTATTAATTTAGAAAGATAAAAATGATTATCTGAAAAACCATCCATTTCAAAAACTTAATTGCTGTTTTAGTTCTCTAGGCTATAATGTAGTGTGGCCTATAATTATTTTAGAAGAACAACGGTGTATTTTTCCCTTATTGTTGGGTGCTCAGTTCCACAGATCCCATACTGAGTATGTGACAGACATTCTGTTAAATGTCTTCCTTGTGTGAACAGTTCAGCCTGGTGTGTCTGGACAGGCACTGAACACAGAAAGAGCACTGCTTTGAAATTGTCAGTCTTTGAAAGGGACATAAAAACATAATGGCTCCAAATGAAATTGTTGCTTTAGAAACACATCAAACGCTGCACCAATACATAATTACGTCAAAGGAAGCCAAATTAACATAGCACATCCCCYGCTGTGTTATATCTGACCATTTTAACAGGGTGGCATTCAAAACCTCTTACATGATCTTACCAGGTGCATTTCATCTCCTTCAATCCACTGGGTCCAACCACGGCCTTCTTTCTCTCCATTCTGCACACAAAGCAGCTTATCTCCATCCCAAGACACRGTGGTCTAACAAAACAGACATGTTTGGTATTAGTGTAGTATTCTCTGATATTATGGTTAGTTCCCGTGAAGCAAAACTTATCTCTAATGATTAGYGTATCTCATGAAATGAATGACTGTAGAGTCTTGTAACACTTAGGATAATTACAAAAGAAATGAGCTTGAACAGAAAATTGCTGCCCAACTGCCTGCCAGAAACTGGAAGGATGAGATAAAGCRAGAAAAAACACCATCAAAATCATGTATAAGAACACACTCCTCTCTCCCTGCTGAAAAATGCAGCAGCAGAAGAGCTCTGTATTTGCAAAGGGAGCTGAAAATTGAAGGTCCAGTTTGGCTTTTTCCACCCCAAGAATGATTCTCCAGCAACTCTACCTATAAAACGTTCCCACTTATTGGCACTATGGCTGAAAAAAGCTTTTGAACATTGAGCTGGTTTTTCCTCATGTCTTAATCTGCCTTYCTTCATTGAGCAGAGTGGTTTGGAAGTATCAGCAAATTGGTGACTTTGCCAGCACCATGCTTTTTGCAACTGAGGCTGAGGAACTACTCGAGACAGCACTGGCAGAGTAAGTGCAAGAGTCAGGTGCTGCAGCATTCAGCACAGCACTTTGGTGAATATGGTGCTGTCCTGAGTAGTTTAGTAAAACCTYATTCATAAAACTCCTTAAATGTCTGACAGTGCATCCTACAGCTTGTTACTCTGGTTAGCATTTATTGACAAATTTGCCTTTCACATCTCCCTAAGATGAAGAGAAGGAATGCTCTGTAAAATATTTAGAAGGAAGAGCAGTGACAAGCTGTGCTCCTTGAGGATAGTTTAACATTAATATTAGCACATGGCTTTTAAATCAGTTTCTTTGAAGGAACTCTGAGGACAAAATATGGAATTACTGTCTACCTTGTAWAAGTCTTCAGCCACTGCTTGCATGAGCTGTCAGATATGGAGAGATGATGAATTCTGATCTGTCATTAAAGGGCACTTACTGCATCCATCCTGTGTAGTTTCTAAGAGAAGAAGTCAGCTTACATTTTTMCTGCCAGGAGTTAAAACCAGTTCAACATGCAAGAACTGTGCAGTCCTATTTATTTAATTGGTGTCTGTCACAAACAATTAATTCTTAAATGATAACCATGATAGCCACTATCTTTGAATGAGTGCAGCCAGCAGTCTCCTCCCATGGGAAGCTTTAGACTAAATAAGTATGGAAAATGAATCACTAGAAAGAGTGCCAGGATAGATAATCATAGGCACGGCAATAATATTGATCCCATACAGTCTGTTTGCACCACATGGGGTCTCTGAAAGACAAACTCACATGTCCTTGTTAAAAATATCTCCAAGTTAGAAAATGCATTCACAGATTCTTCAGTTCTCTTTTGTAAAGTGATAAATTTAACCAAGTAGTAGATAACATTTTATGAAACCATATCCTTTTAATGCAAAAAATGCCAATGCTGGAAGGAACAACACGTTTGGGAAAAGCTGTAGTTAATATGGTCACCATAATCTAAATCATCTCTCATATCCGAATCTGCAGACATCCACTTAAGAGATAGAAGATAAAAAATAATAGGAGTCAAAGTGAGAAATGTTTCATTTATAAGTTAACATATCTACAAATTTCTAATTCGAAAAAATCAATATAACAGAAAATGAATGATGACTTGTAGCTACTGTGGAATTAAGCAATTGCATGTACAACTTTGCTTAGTAACTGCAATTGTTTGTATCCATTGAGTATTGGCTCAGCATAGTTTAACCATTACTCTAGTTCAATAGCTAAATGTTGTTTTGTGGCTTTATATGTGAATTCAGAGGCAATATACCATGACAAAGTAAAATCCAACTTTATTAGTCCTACCAATGTTCAAAGTCACTTGTGAATGTTATTAAACTTGATAATATCCACTGACTTAGTACACCTGGGGGAAATAGAGAAATATTTGTAGCAGCACAAGGAAATGTTAACTTTTTAGTCTCCAAGGGTGATTGAAATTGTTTCATATCAGAAAACAACACACTTTCTACTCAGGATTTGTTGTTCTTCCAGTCAAGATTAGATATTGGTTTTTGCAATTTGGTGATAACCAAGAAGAGCCTAAACCCACAGACCATTAACCAAGCTATCAGACAATGTTCTCAGGTATCCTATGCCTTCCCTTTGAGAAATAGAAATACTAAGAGGATATGAGTAAACCATACAATTTCTGATTTCTGTAGGTAGATATTTTGTTCTGAAGGTTATAAAGGGCAGAAYATATTGCAAGAGAATGTAACATCATTTTCTTTGTTAACAGGAACAATCACTTCAGGACATTGAGATTAATCAGTGGCATCTGTATCTTTCTTTAGGTCAAACTGTAATGTCTCAATGTCTCTTTTATTAAACTAATACACAAGATACAAAATTCTCTTTTAACTCAGATTGAAACATGTTCTTTCATCCCAAGTATCTCTATTGAGACACACATTTAGAGTTAGTTGAGGCTGGTGTTGCTATGGCTGTTAATGTGCACTGTCTGCTGCAAACAGTCCACCCTCTACAACACCTAAACCAGAGSAATGCTTGCTTTACAATATTCCCAAAAGTATTTGGATTAGAACGTAAAAATAATACTCCAAAAACACTATAGGGCAAACATTGCATGTATAATCTGTTTTGCTGTATCTAAGAACAAGGATTTATTTTTAAAGACTGGATCRGGATAGTGCCATGGTATAATCAGGAGCCAAGCACTTGTTTAGACTGCTAAGGCAGCTCTGTATGACCCTTTGGATCCTGCTGTTTTTCTCCCTGGCACACGTGATCAAGATAGAGAAACACTTTATCTCTTACGTAAAGCTACTTTTCTAAGAAAATKATGCCTTTGTAATTAACCTTGTTTGCCCCCATTTTGATAATGGCATTACCTAAGGTTTGCCTGATCACAGAGGCTGAGCCACTGTCACCTACCCAGAATGACTGAAAGTCTTGGCCAGGGTTTGGTAGACACTGCAGGCCCATGCAGACAGCTTTGATTCTTTATCCTCTTCCACAAGAGGAGTGGGAGGCAAACTCACAGGACACTGGAAAGYTGCAGTTTCCAATAACAGAACCAACCAGCTGAAAATGGAGCATTTCTTCAAAACTGATGACTCCTGCCTTTTTAAGTGCCTCCTGCTACTTGCATAATAAATGGAAGATATTGTTTATTCCTTTCAACTACACAGTACATCATCTAAATCATCATGAGCAAGCTTAAATCTGGCTTTCTTACTACCTGATTCATACTAAGAGGAGCACTTCCTCGGTCAAGTGCATGTYATTCATTAGGAAACTTCAAGAGGGAATGGTGATGAGTGCAAGGAGTCAACTGTACTATTTAATAATACTAAAGAAACACAAGAAAAAGGGTGAGGTAAAAAAACAGGGAGTCTTGCCTCAATTTAACTCTTCTCAAAAATTCCAACTACCAATATTGCACATTTTCCAGATTATATACAGTTAGTTCTTGAGGTGTAATATTAGAGAATGGGGCTSCTCTGGGAAGTGAAAAAGCCTTTGAAGCCTGAGAACAAAAAAAAGTTCATACTTTCTTTTGTTTTGTGGCATGGTTCCTGTAGTCTTTCACTTTCTGTGTACTTTGAAATTCTCTTTTTATTACTTGGGCATCCATGTACTTYTTTAGTGATTTAATCTCTTTATATTATGAAAATTTAAATTCATATGCATAGCATCACCTGAATCTTCTTGAATATAAAAGCTGGGAGAAATTATAATTAAAGTATTCTCATTACTGTTTCYAGTTATGAGACAAGGTAGATTTATTAAATGAAATAATTTAGTAAACCTCAAACAAATTATTGACTATGTATTTGCTTTTTCTTTAGTAGCAGTAACTGCAGAGAAATCTTGCACAATTTCAGCTTCCAATGGCAAGTCATACTGACCCACAGCCAGAGATAGAGACTTTTGTAATTTACTGGAATAGTCATCAAACATTTTATCAGAGTACTTTGCATTTCTCTGTGAGGTCTAAGTGCAAAGGCATTTGTTGCTGGCTCTGCACAATGTTTCTCATTCCCCTGTTGGCCGTTTCTGTGTGCCTGCTTGGGTCAGGAGCTCAGCAGTTGGAGGTACAGAATGTATTTTACAGATGAATGAAAGAAAGGAACTTTTTTTGAAGTAGTCCATGAACATTTTTTGTTAATGCTACATAGATTTTTGACACACTGCCTTTACAAGTATGAATTTCAGCTACCACCTTTCATCAGAAATACGTTATTGATTTCCTATCTGTAGGAGAAACACAGCAGTACCAGTTCTATTTTTCTCCTGCTTCCCTCAGAGTGTTGTCTCTATATATGGTGCACCAAATGACTGCAAAGCTATGAGTGCAYGACACGCTCCCCGCTCCATCTCAATCCAGTAATTCCCTGCTTGGGAGAATGACATGCCATTTTACAACTGTAATTATGATCTAAGAAGGACTAAAAAATGGAAAGGCATTTTTTTAGGTCAGATAAAACAGAAAAATCCAATTTGAGCTGTGTCTTGTAAATAACACCAAAGAAAATACCCTCAAACTTCTGGTAAAACACAGCAATATATCCAACCAAGTATTAATAGCTTCTCAAGATAAACCATTTCAACTGTACTCAGTATCATAGTGATTTATAAAAGCCACTTGTAACAAGTTTTTTGAGGAAAAAATGAAGTGCTTGTAGAATAAATTAATGTTGATGTCACAAAGTCCAGTGTAGCTTTGAAGGGGAATTCTGCAAGTGGTCACTCCCTATGGCCCCTGTGCAGGAAGCTGCTCCCAGAGGGTACAGCCATGGGCAGCTTTGTCACCTCTCCACCCTGCAGCCCCTTTTATCCCATCACATCTGCATSTGGAAGTTCAGTGACACAGAAAAACTACTGTGAATACAACAACAARCCCAACAGAGCAATTGCTGGAAAGGTTCCTGGGCTTTATCTCCAGATCCTGGTGCTGRACAAAGGCTGAAATCATTAAGC